GGGTTTAGGGTTTAGGGTGTTAAGAGACTTCTGCCTACTTTGACGGACCTGCATACGGAAACTATGATGAGACTACCCAAACCGTTAACCTTCCGATGGGTTTACATATAGGAAAATCGTCATAAGGACAAACACTAGACGGTAAACACCGAAGCCCTAAAGCCCTGTGAGGGATTGCCTGGGCGAAGAGAGCCGATTGCGCATGCGCCTGGAAAAGCATAATTAACTACTAGGGTTCTACAAGGATTTCTAGAACGGCTATATAAGGTGTATTTTGGCTTGGCGGTCCGAAGGACCTCGAAGGACCTGAGAAAAGTACTTGCGTTTGTGGAAACCGAGGCGCTTGTGTAAGGAATGGTAAGATTGATTATTCAAGCCCGTAACTATACAGACTCGATATCATTGTCCACGTAGGCCCTAAACCCCCAACTAAACCCCTGGGCCGCGATTCCCAAACCTTCCATCCTACATGTTCAAGCATGAAGGCCGCGCTTGGAGGCTCTTCTATCAAGCCAGAAGGGGCTAGTAAAATAAGCTGTGGGGAGAGTGACAGTCAACAACCTAACCCTAAACCCTAAACCGAAGATGAGCATCCAAGTAGGTGCCCTGCGGTTCCTTTTGGTGCACACGAACTCGAATGCAACATATTGTCACCACAAGTCAGGGTGTAGACCCAACTCACAGACCTCACCTCTGCACTTTCGGGCTTAGGGTTTAGGGTTGACGGTTTAGGGTTTCCGTTCCCCTAAGGGTCCATGTATCCATATGAGCATACTTTGGCCCTGAAGTACCCATATAGGGACTACATTAAGGCCTCAGTATATACTATGTTGGGTACTTGGACCCTTGGGGTTCTGACCTCGTAAGATAGCGCCCTTGGCCCGCAGCCCTCCTACTTACCTGCCCTCAGCAGCAAGCTCGTCGTTGAAGACGTTCATGTGGGTAGTTCTCTGAATCTATAGGGTTCCTTTTTGGGGTCCTTTTTAATAAGGGTGCCGTACTAAATTGGGACTCTAGAAAAGGGGCCCTAATTCAGAGAACTACCCATGTGCACTCACGTCCATGTTTGCTGGCTCCCATGTCCCATGCCTTTCCCATGGACAGCTCGAGGAACAGTTTCACGCACAGCACCCACTTGACAGAGCATAGAAGACTTTCCTGCTGCGACGGCACTCTGCTTCTCTGCTGTAGACGAATTTAGGGTTTGGGGTCTTAGTAGGGTTTAGGGTTTATAGGGCTTGTAGGGGATAGGGTTTAGGGTATACGGTTTTTAGTAGGGTTTAGGGTTTAGGGCTTTTAGGGTTTAGGTTTTAGTACCCGAACATGAAGCAGCCCCCGACAAAGTAAGTCTCCTGCAACCTTCAGGTCATTACGACCATGCATCTGGGTGGTTGTCAAAATTACGGTCCCTTTTTGGGTCCTTATACTAATACGGCACCTAATATTTAGGGTACCCAAAAAGGGTCCCTTTTTGGGTCCTTATAATAATACGGCACCTAATATTTAGGGTACCCCAAAAGGGACCATAATTTAGACAACCACCCATCTGGCTTGGAAGCATCATCGGCAGTGGGGAAGCCGCTTGGGCACAGAACGTAAGAGCGAACAGAGCGGATGGTGATGTTCTTTTCTTAGGTGGGCACCTGGGAAGAGACATGTCAAACCTAAACCCTAAACCCTAA